CCTTCTTGGGGTCACGGCCTTTCGGCCCGGGCGGCGCGGGCCCATGGCTGGCGCGGAGGTCTCGGCCCCGCGGCTCCTTCTCCGTCTGCTGGGTCCGGGAGGAAAGGGGGTCTCCGGGAGGCGGAGGAGCGCCCGGGTCACGTGGCCTGGGGACGCGTCCCTAGCCCAGAGCGCTGCGCGGGATTCAAAGGGCCCGCTCCGCCGATTCCTGCCGGCGTTTTTTAAAACCCGAATCCTGCGACTCTCAGTGGCTGCCGCTGGAGCAGAGCGACTACGGGGGGGACCAATGAGAGCACAGGCCGAGAGGCTAAGGGCGGCGGTGATAGGGAGAGGAAGCGGGGACATGGCGGATCGACGGTGGGATCAGCCAATGGACACTTGGGGAAGTGAAAGGAGGCGGGAACTCCTCCCGCCCTCTACTGGTTTGTGGCTGTGCTGTCAGACTTACGTCCTCGGGTGCCCTCTGGTGGAAAAATGAGAGCTCGACTCTGGAGACGTAGATGCGTTTGTAGACCGGGTTTCTCGCTAATCACTTTGCTCAAACATTTTATGTTTTGCCTATCTACTCAGGGATAGCGTTTAACGATGAAGAGACAGACCTACAGAGAATGTGACAACCCCATGTCCCGCCTGTGACCCTCCCGGGAACACCCCGTCGATATGACTCAGAAGCCAGTTTAACTGCATGTACGTTATTGATGATTAGGGTGGTGGGATAGTAGGGTCCGGGATCCGTCGATAGGGTCAGGCAGGGCAGGCCTCAGCACCATTTTGGGGCCACATTCTCCAGCATTACAATATAATTGTCCCAGGGAATCGTCACCTTCCTTTCCCGCTGTGGATAATCCGCATACAAGTCAAGTATAGAACTGGGCAGTGAGAATAAAGGGGGTTTAATTTTCTAGGCTTTGCTTTCTTGCATTTTCTAATTGTTCTACGGTTGACATATACTATATTAGGAAAAATGTCATTACAAAATTAGAGATTTCACGGAACACTTGTTCACTGCTGCTGGTGGGAATATAAAATGGTGCATCCACAGAGGAAAACAGTATGGCAGTTGGTCTAAAAATTAAACATAGAATTAGCATATGATCCAGCAATTCCACTTCTGGGAATATACTCAAAAGAATTAAAAGCAGGGACCTGAACAGTATTTGTACACTAATACTCATAGCAGTGTTATTCACAATAGCCAAAAATGCCCAAATGGATGAGTAAACACATTGTGGTATATTTATACAACGGACTATTATTCAGCCCGAAAAAGAAAGTAAATCCTGACACAGGTTACAACATGGATGAATCTTGAAGACATTACGATAAGCAAAATAAACCAGACACAAAAGTACAAATATTGTAGGATTCCACTTATCTGAGGTGCCCAGAGCAGTCAAAACATAGACAGAAAGTAGGGTGGTGGTTGCCAGGAGCTGGGGGAGAAGGAATGGGGAGCTCGTGTTTAAGGGGCACAGAGTTTCCGTTTGGGAAGATGAAAAAGTCCTGGAGATGGATGGTGATGGTTGTGAACATATTTAATGCCACTGAGTACACTTAATAATAGTCAAAATAGTAAGTTTTATGTTGTGTATATTTTACCACTAGAAAAAAATAAAGAGAAGGGAAGAAAAGGAAGGAATGTTTAATTGAATTCTTTGAGGTGCAGTCAAATCACAGAAATATGATTGGTTTTCAGTAATCCAGGTCGGCACAGAGGCTACCCCAGCCCTCAGCACCCATTAATCAAAGCAAATCTTCACTCATTAATTCTGCTTTAGACGTATAGCTCCGATTTTGCTCTACTGAAGTAGAAAACAAGGTAGAAAGGGTTTTTTGTTTTTTTTTTTAAAAAAAGATTCCACATAGAAGAGAGATCATACTGTATTTGTTTTTCTCTAACTGAATATATTTCACTTAGCATAATGTCCTTACACCAGCAATTTTCAGCCTCTTTCATCTCCTGGCATACATAAACTAATTACTAAAATTCTGTGACACACCAAAAAATATATTTTTTGGCAATATGACAAAAAAAATAGGCATCATGTTGATTCATTCACTCTGGATGGCTATTGTGTTGGCTGTTGTCATTTTTTTTGACAGTCTAAGGGAAAAGAGGTCAGTGCCCTGACTAAACAGCTATTGCATGTTTTAAAAATTCTTGTGGTACACTGGTTGAAAATCACTGCCTCCCACAACAGAAGATCCTACAATCAGGGCTCTAAAAGGCCAGTCTGCTTCTTGAATGGCTCTTGTATTCATCCTCGCACCATTCCCACAGCCCAGACCCTAACTAACCAAAGGTGGTCTTACTGGCCTTCAGCACTTCCTTACCCTAATCTAATCTATTTCCATGCAACAACCAGGCGATCATCCCAGACAGTTTGGATCATGTCCCTCCCTTGCCTGAAACTCTCCAGGGCGCCCTAGTCTAGAGTCCTAACACCTCAGCAAAGCCTAAAAGGCACAGCATTACCTGGGCACCTGCCCCACCCTGGGCTTGTCTCTGGCCCCCTCCTGTGTAGCATGCTTACTGCCAGGCGTACCAGTCTGCTTACCCGCAGTTCTCGAATACATCACCTTGTAACAGACACGCTTACGTCCCTGTGCTTTTAACAAGCTGTTCCTTCCTCTTGGAATACTTCATCTCTCCCTTCCCCCAGGCCGCCAAGCCTGGGAGACTCCTGCGCACCCCTCAACACCCAGCTCAAGTGGAGCTCTGAGTTCCAGGCAGAGTTAGCTGATCCCCCCTGTGCTGCACCCCACTGCCCCCCACAAGGCCTCCTGCTGCACCACCCGCTGCGCTGGAATTCTTGCTTTACACATCCGTCTCTCCCGTCTTCCTTGGTGGAGCCACATCAAAGAGCACACTGGTTCTGAATCACGTTTGCTGAATTCTGGGACAAAAATCCCTCATTAAAATTTTTTTGGAGGAGTTTTTGATGAAGGGCAGTTTATAAACTTTCACAACTACATAGGGAACTCCCTGCTAACTGCGGGCTTTGAAAGGATGTAGTCAACAAAAGGCCAGAGGGGCTCTAAACCAAGGCAACTATAACAGCGATCTGCAGGTGGGTCAGGGAGGGGAACACATCTGGGGATGCTGAAAACCTCACCTCCTATAGGTACCGAGGTCATCCAGTGAAGGGAGAGGCGGGGCTGACACAGCTCTCACTCCTGATCCTGCTTCTTTCCCCACCAGGCGATCTTTTGCTCCAGTCCTCTGCATGCTCACCAGGGGTCAGAGCTTTGACTTCCTGGAGTGTTGTTTACTTAAACCATGCAAAGACCTTTGGACAAAGTGAAAGCACAGACTCACTCGGCAGGGTCTCAAATGTCTGCCTTGTGGGCAGATGCCTGGTGAGAGGAGCCTGAGGGGTACTCAGGGCCTAGATGGCAATCCTGAAGGAAGCCCCAGCCCCAGGACCACTCGGTGATGGGCAGGGACGACTGGGTTCACTACAATATAAGTGGTTTAAATTACATTGTATTTGAACTGCTGTTTATAGAAGTCCGTAAGTCAATTCTGATTTGAGGGTTCAGGGCCTCCATGCCATTCAGGGTATCCTTACTCCACTCAAAATGGTAGGGCCACATCCCCTACAACCCTCGACTCAGGAGGAGAGGGGAGATCCTTACCCTCCTGCCACAACCAGCTCGACGCAGCAAAGCTCCTCAAACCCACCCTCCAACGCACTCCTGCCAAAAGGAGTGAACATGTCTCCAGGGGATGAGAGGGCACTTACTGCCAGCATACAATTTCCTCTATTTCATTTTATAATTGGTGTGAATTTTATATTCTACTCCGCGATGGTGTGTACAAGGAAATGTTTCTTCCCCTCTGAGCAAAGCTGATGCTCCACGGGTGACAGGCGCACGAGCAGTGTGCAGATTATGTTTTATTGAGTTGTACACTTGAAACCTGTATGGTTTCGTGAACCTATGTCAACCCAATAAATTCAATAACATGAAAAAAAAAAGCTGATGCTCCAGTGTGCTCAGCAGGGACTTCGGTGCCGCTGACAGACCACCTCGGTGCATAGTGCAGGCTTACGCGACACCCCGCTGTGCACTGACCTTTACAGGTCCCCGCGATTTATTATCTTCTGTAATTTTCATGCTCATCTTGACAGATGGAGGCTGGCTTCCCCGTTTAGGAGATGTGAAGACCCAAAGCTCCAGGAGGTAAAGTGATTTGCCTGAGCTGGTGGCAGGCCTGATGGGGTGTTTCCCCTCCCCATGCTCTGCCACCCCTCAAGTCCCATCTAATCCTACCCAACCATTCAAAGTTAAAACCCACACAGTCCCCCATGACAGCGCTCAAATAAAGGCCAAGTGCTTCCCTAATACCCTCTTCAGCGGCTTGCACAGTCGAGCGTACAGGCTGGGCAGCCCACTGCAGGGAGCAGTCTTGGTTCCCAGGTACAGGCTCCTGGCTGTGCTCTGTGGCAGAAAGGGATGGGCAAGAACTGAACCAGGCACTCCGGCTTTGCCTGTCACTGGCTGTGTGACCCTGGGAAATTCCTGCCTCTCTCTGAGCTTCGGTTTCTTCATCGGAACAATGTATGATGGGCTGGGCGATTTCTATGCTTTGGTACATTAGAGCTTTTCCACCCAACATTTTAAATGCCAAGCCCAGGAAAATCCCAACCCTGGCACTCCCTCATTAAAAAGAAAGCCCATATTACCAATTTCCCTTTTCTTGTTTAACATAAAGCCTAAAATAACATCCTAAGGCAGTTTTTTTGACAAGGCAGCTGTAGTCCCCACCACCCTCTCTCCATTTCCTTCTTCCTGTGACATACACCGTGTCCCAGAGACGCTCAGGGGCTCCTGGGACTCAGGGCTGGTGGGATGGAAAGAGCCTCTTCTCCCAACACACTTTCATAACCTGCTGGATTCCCACATAGCCTGAGGGTTTTGTTTGTCAAAGATCCCTTGCCCCAGAATCTACTTTAAGGAAGGCATTTGGTGTTTTATGCTGGAGCTGCCCAGGAAAATGGTCTGAGGCTCCAGAAACTGCCATGGAGTGAGGAATGCTGGAATGGAGGCCACTCAGCTCCCTGGGATCCCTAATGCCACTTCCCTCTCTT